AGTTGTCAAGAAATTGTAATTTAAAAATTAAAAAAAATTCACTAAAAATGATTTGTCCCATTTCTACTGACTCCCTCTCATATATCAAAATAATAACTAATACTAAGATAAAATAATAAACCAATAAAATAAACCTGTTTTATAACATTTTCATCACCTTATAGACTCAAAAATTTTCTTTTATTTTTAGACACTGATTTTAGAGTAGGTGTAGTAGTAGTTGTTGTGGGGTTTGTGAATTATATTGAGACATTGCATTTTGTAAACTAGTTAGAGCAGCGTCTTTTTGATCACCAAAGAGAAAAGTCATAAGTTTAGATAATGAGTTGAGAATCAAGACAATAGTAGTTGATTTTTCAAAGATAGACCAATATTTATTTAGCTTAGATCTAATAGCAATTGCTATTGCATACTGTTCTATTAAATATAGTTCTTCATCTATAAACTTATTAAGATGATAGAGAAGTCCTAAAAAGGTTAAACAGATGTTAGAAATAGTTGAATAGGAGCTTGATGATAATAATTCTGTTGCAACAAGTATAGGTTCTAATAACTCAATCATGTTTTTATAACTTCCTATTCCTTATTGTTAGAATAAGCATTTTTGAATTATTTTTATGTATAGTTACAAATAAACTTAATTTATTATATATTTTTTTTAAATCTATAGAGCATGCTATAGATACTATTTTAATGCATGCTTAAAATAATATAATTAAAATAAAGTAATTATTAAATATTTATAAATTTATATTATTATTTTAAAAAAAATCTTTTAAATATTAAATTTCTTAACACTCACCTAAATTAACATATTAAAAGTGAAAGTAAATAGTAAGTATTTATGATTTAAATTAAAATACTTTAAATATTATTAATTGATAATCTGCCTATCAACTGGAGAATAGGTGAAATAAGATGTCTGCCATCTAAAACTTTTTTCTTACTAAGTTAATGATACATACTTGCTAATTAAAAGTTGTAGAGCTCATTGAGATATATCTAATAGTAGTTAGATTATCCAAATTGGCCTAGTAAATGGTGAAATATCATCGAAAAATAATTAGCTAACTATATAAAAATTCATAACAGAAATTATATATAAAAATTACTATTGGCAAAATGTGGCATGCTTCCATTTAAAATTTTTTCTTTACTAATTTAATGATATATACCTATTAATTGAAAGTTGTAGAGCTCATTGAGATGCATCTAATGGTAGTTAGATCATCCAAATTAGCCTAGTGAATGGTAAGATATCATCAAAAAATGATTGACTAACTATATAAAATCTTTATGTAAATAAACATTGTTTATATAGAGATTTTATATAGTCGACCAATCATTTTTGATAATATCTCATCATCTACTAGGCCGATTTGGATTATCTAACCACTGTTAGATGCGTCTTGATGAGCTCTACAACTTTTAATTAATAGGCATATATTATTAACTTAGTAAGAAAAAAATTTAAATAGAAATACGTCACATTTTGCCAATAGTGATTTTCATATTATTATAAGTGGACTGTAGCCTTCTTAATACAGCCAAGTAACAAAGCACATAGCTATAGAGCTCTGTTGTGAGATTATAGCAGTGTAAAAGTAGAATGTTACTTCACTAAGGGCAGTTTGTAGGAAGTATATAGTTAAAGAAAAATATATTTTATTTATAGTATATAAGACTTTAAT